CGATTCTCTGTCTCCCTCTCTCTCTGTCCCTCCCCCACTCACACTCTCTCCCTCTCGAAAAAAATAAATAAACATTTAAAAACTTTAAGAACACAGCCCCATTTATAATAGCATCAAGAAAAGAAAAAACTTTAAGAATTAACTCAGCCAGGAGGTAAAGAACTTGTACAATGAGAACTATAAGATATTTCTGGGTGCCCGGATGGCTCAATCAATTAAGCATCCGACTCCTGATTTCAGCTCAGGTTATGATCTCACGGTTCATGAGTTCAAGCCCCACATCAGGCTGTGCACTGACAGTGTGGAACCTGCTTGGGATTCTCTCTCCCTCTCTCTGCCTCTCCCCTGCTCATGCTCTCTCTCTCTTGCTCAAAATAAATAAGTAAAAGTTAAAAAAGACATTTTTAAACAAAATTAAAGAAGACACAAATAAATGGAAAAACATTCCATGTTCATGGATTGGAAGACTTAATATTGTTAAGATGCCAATACTACCTGAAGTAATCTACAGATTCAATGCAATCCCTACCAAAATCCCAATGATGCTTTTTGGCAGAAATAGAAAAACTCATCCTAAAATTCATATGTAATCTCAAAGGACTCTGAATATGCAAAACAATTCTGAAAATAAAAAAGGTGAAGGACTCACATTACCTGATTTTAAAACTCAATACAAACATAAAGTAATAAAAACAGAATGGTACTGGCATAAAGATAGACATACAAAGCAATAGAACAGAATAGAAAACCCAGAAATAAACTCTCACATATAAGGTCAAATGATTTTTAACAAGAGTGCCAAGACAATTCAATGGGGAAAAGATAGTTTTCTCAACAAATGACGCTGTGAAAACTGGGTAGCACATGCAAAAGAATTAAGCTGGAACTTTGTCTCACACCATATAGAAAAATGATCTCAAAATGGATCCATGACCTAAATATAAGACATAAAAACTATGAAACTCCCAGAAGAAAACATAGGGGAAATCATATTATATTTGGCAAAGATCTCTCAGATACGACACTAAGAGAATAGGAAATAAAAGGGGAAAAAAACACAAATTGGATTTCATGAAAAAAAATTTTTTTTAATTTTAATGTTTATTTGTTTTTGAGAGAGAAAGAGACAGAGCACGAGTGGGGGAGGGGCAAAGAGAGAGGGAGACACAGAATCTGAAGCAGGCTCCAGGCTCTGAGCCGTCAGCACAGAGACCAATGCCGGGCTCAAACTCACAAACTGCAAGACCATGACCTGAGCTGAAGATGGATGCTTAACCGACTGAGTCACCCAGGCATCCCCCCAAAAAATTTTTTAATTGGGGGTGCCTCACTGGCTCAGTTGGAAGAGCATGTGATTCTTGATCTCAGAGTCAAGAGTTCAAGCTCCATGTTGGGTGTAGAAATTACATAAACAAATAAATAAACAAACTTAAAAAATTTTTTAATTTTCCATCAAAAGACACTACCAACAGAGTGAAAAGGCAATCCATAGAATAGGAGAAAATATTTGCAAATCATATATATTCAAAAGGATTTAATATCCAGAATACATCATGAACTCCTAAAACTAAACGACCTGATTAAAAATTGGGCAGGTCGGGGCGCCTGGGCGGCTCAGTCGGTTGGGTGTCTGACTTCAGCTCAGGTCATGATCTCACAGCTCATGGGTTCAACCCCATGTCGGGCTCTGTGCTGACAGCTCAGGGCCTGGAGCCTGCTTCGGATTCTGTGTCTCCCTCTCTCTCTGCCCCTCTCCTGCTCACACTGTGTCTCTCTCTCAAAAATAAACATTAAAAAAAAAGTTTTTTTAAATACGGCAGGGGACTTGAATAGACATTTCTCTAAAGATGAAATCACATGAAAAGATGGTCAACATCACTAGTCATTAGGGAAATGCAAATCAAAACTATACGAGATACCACTTCACACCTATTGGGATAACTACTACAAAACAAAACAAAACAAAACAAAACAAAACAAAACAAGAGTTGGCCAAAATTTGGAGAAATTGGAACCCTTGTGCCCTGTTGCTGAGAATGTAATATGTACACCCACTGTGAAAACAGTATGACGATTCCTCAAAAAATTAAAAATTACCATATTATCCAGCAACTCCACTTCTGAATATACACACAAAAAAACTGAAAGCAAATTCTCAAAGATTTTTTTTTACACCCCCATTCATCGCAGCATTATCCACAATAGCTAAAATGTGGAAGTTTTACCTTCCATCAGCTGATGAATGGATAAGCAAAATGTGGCACATACACATACAATAAAATCTTCCTCAGCCTTAAAAAGAAAGCAAATTCTTTATATATAAAGCATCCAACTCTTGATTTCAGCTCAGGTCATGATCTCACAGTTCATGGGTTCGAGCCCCACGTTGAGCTCTGTGCTGGTGGCATGTGCCTGCTTGGGATTCTCTGTCTCTCCCTCTCTCTCTGCCCCTCCCCCAATTGTGCTGTCTCTGTCTCTCTCGAATAAATAAACTTTAAAAAAAATACTGGAGGGTTGCCTGGGTGGTTCAGTTGGTTGAATGTCTTGCTCTCTATTTTGGTTCAGGTCATGATCCCAGGGTCATGGTATCATGCCCCACATTGGGCTCCATGTTGAGCGTGAAGCCTGCCTAAGATTCTCTCTTTCTCCCTCTTTCCCTCTCCCCGGCTCTGTCTCTCTCTCTCTCTCTCTCTCTCTCTCTCTCTCTTAAAAAAATTACTGGAGGGGTGCCTGGGTGGTTCAGTCGGTTAGGTGTCTGATTTCGGCTCAGGTCATGATCTCACAGCTTGTGAGTTCAAGCCCCACATTGGGCTCTGTGCTGACAGCTCAGAGCCTGGAGCTTGCTCAGATTCTGTGTCTCCCCCTCTCTCTCTCTGCCCCTCCCCCACTCACTCTGTCTCTCTCTCTCTCTCTCTCTCTCAAAAATAAAAACACTAAAAATTTTTTTTAATTATTGGCAAATATGTATCAATTGTATATAAGAAAAAATTTTGTGTTCCAGCTTTGTAAAAACATGATATTATCATCATCATCTCCTCTTCCATAGATATCCTATAAAAGGCTGAATGACTTCTCATCCAAAAGTCGTGTGTCAGGTAGGAGATCGGTCTGCAACAATGGTTGGCAAGCTATATAGTTGCAGGCCAAATCTAAACAGCAACCAGTTTTTATAAATAAAGCTCTATCACAGTCACTTCCATTTATTTACAGATTTTCTGTGGCTGCTTTTTTCTCACACTACAACAGCAGAGTAAAGTAGGTGTGACAGAAACTTTATGCCTAACAAAGGCTAAAATATTTACTACTTCACCCTTTGTAGATAGTTTACTAACTGACCTAAAATAGTGGTTCTCAGAACCACCTGAAGAACTAATAAAAAATAGAGGTCAGGGCTTACTGGAATAAGGTAGAGCTTGATCTCTATATTTTTATAAAGTACCCTAGTGAACATTTTTGATAAGTTTTATTGAGGTATAATTCCCATACCATACAATGCATCAATTTAAAATACACAATTCAGTGGTTTTTAATATATACACAGAGTTGTGCACACATTACCCAATCAATTCTAAAACATTTCCATCACATCAGAAAGAAGTGCCATACCCAATAGCAGTCTCTCCCCATCTTCCCCAACTCTCACAGCCCTAGGCAACCACTTATCTACTTCCTGTCTCTATAACTGCATCTATTCTGGAAATATCATATAAATGGAAGGAAACAATATGTGATCTTTGTGACTGGCTTCTTGCACTTGGCATCATGTTTTTAAGGTTCATCCATGTTATAACATGTATCAGTATTCTGTTTCTTTTTATTTTTCTTAATATTTTTAAGTTTTTCTTATTTACTTTTTTTGAGTTTATTTATTTATTTTGAGGGGAGAGGGGCAGAGAGAGGGAGAGAGAGAGAATCCCAAGCAGGCTCCGTGCTGTGCAGAGCCCAATGTAGGGCTCAAACCCACAAACTGCAAGATCATCACCTGAGCTGAAATCAAGAGCCAGACGCCCAAAAGACTGAACCACCCAGGCACCTCTTAAGTTTTTATTTTAATTTCAGTTAGTTAATGTACAGTGTTATATTAATCTCAAGATGTACAATAGAGTAATTCAACACTTCCATACGTTACACCATTTATTGGCAAATGATATTCCATGATATGGGTATACCACATTTTGTTTGCCTATTCATCAGTTATTAGATATTTTGGTTGTTTCCACATTTGAGTATTAGGAATAATATTGTTATGAACATTCACATATAAGTGTTTTATGGACATACTTTTTCTATTTAACTCAGGAGTGGAATTGCTGGGTCAAATGGTAACTATTTAACTTAGTGAGGAACTAATAGTTTCCAAAGCAACTGCCCAATTTTACATTCCCACCGTCAGTGTATGAGGGTTACAATTTCTCTATATCCTTGCCAACATATGTGATTATCTGTCTTTTTGATAATAGCCATCCTACTGGTTCAAAGTGGTTTTTCATTGTGGTTTTGATTTGCATTGCCCTGATGGCTAATGATGTTGAACATTGTTTCAAGTGCTTATTCCTCAGTAATTCTGAGGCACGCTTAAGTTTGGGAACGATTAAGAAGTCTTTATGTACTTTAAGGTCCCTTTTGACATTAATGGTAACATAAAGACAGAGCCAGAGAGGTGTATTACTCATAGAACTGCACTCGTTCATGCCTTCCTGTTCCACATGACACTGCCCTGTAGATTAACCTAGCCCTAACTCCTGTTTTATAAAGCACCAACTACTTTATTCCTTTTTCATTTTATTTCTTTTTCAAAATTTTAATGTAAATTTTAAAATTAACTTGACTATTGATTGTTTAAATCATTAATCAAGCAGTTCCATCTTCTAATTTTATCAGCATAATGGCAGATATGGTACTATGTGAATATGGATGGATATAAATGGGTATATTCAATACATATTAATAGAAACCTTAAAAAATGTTAGTCTTTAGAGAAAAGAAAATCAATTCTGTACCTTTCATGATCCATCAGCAGTTTAGCAATGTTCAGACAAAAGTCTAGAGACATGTCAAGATGTAGTATTTCCATGACAGCTAAAAAAGAGAAGATGAAATAATCATATCAGTTTCATTTCTGAGGAAACTTAGCTATTTTCAGTAACCTTCCTTTGTTAAAAATCTACTTTCTAAACGTTTGCCATACACCACATCTTGCCTAATAATTTATCAAAATCTTTTGGGGCATCTGGGTGGTTCAGTAGGTTAAGCACCAGACTTCAGCTCAAATCATGATCTCACAGTTCATGGGTTCGAGCCCCACATTGGGCTCTACGCTGACAGTGTGAAGACTGTTTGGGATTCTCCCTCTCTCTCTCTCCTCCCCCACCCCCCCCTCACTAGCTCTTTCTCTCTCAAAATAAATAAACTTTAAAAAATATTTTTATAAAGACATCCAATGCTAGAGTGTAGTGAAACAGGTACTCTTCTAAGGATGTTAAAGTAACTTGATACAATCTTTTTGAAAAGCAGTTTGGTAATACTATATGCTATGAACACAGTGGTTAAAAGCTTGAGACTTAAAATCAGATAGACTTATATTTGAAACCACTTGCCACCTATATGGTTATAGGCCATATAGGCTATAGTTTTTTCTGAGCCTTAGTTTTGTCATCTGTAAAATGGGGAATATATCACCAGTCACTTAGGTCTGTTGAGAGTGTTACATGAGATAATGAATGAAAATTACATAGTAAAACACCTAGAACTTAGTAAGACTCAGTAAATGACACCTGTTGTTGTTATTATGTATCCTCTCTAATGCAGAAAGTATACTTCTGAAAAGTCATCGGAAATATGGGAAGATGTTTATAAGCAAAGATATTAAAATCAGTGTAGATATAACAATAAAAAGGAAATATATTCTCAAATGTCCACTATAGGCAGATGATAAACTATTATGAAACTATTAAAAGTGTTGAATATGAAATAACATAGAAAAACTGAATATGCACTAATATGAAAAATGTTTATAAGACTAGTAAGTAAAAAAAATCAGAAAATAAAGCCTGCATGTATTATATGGTCAAAATTCTATAAAACAAATAAATTTAACCAAAATAGAAAAATGCTGAAATTAAATGATCAAACTGCCAGAAGTGATTGTGTTCAGATTATTTATATACCAAATAACTAGCAAGTGTATTCTCCGTGCCAGGAACTATGATCAGTGCTAAGAACCCAGTAGTGGACAAAACACAAAAATCCTTATTGTACATGAATTGTACAGTGAATGATGAAGACTATGAATATCTTTTCCATAGTCTCATGGAATGCATACGGACTTTTCCAAAAGTTCTCTTTAATGCGTGTTGCTACTCTTTCATAATAAAAAAAAATTGTATATTTTTTGATTTCCACTTTTTTTACTTACAAAAAATACTGGTGAAATGCTAATGCCAGCAGTTAGAGTGACCATTTTATTTTTTTAAGTCTATATATTCATTTTGAGAGACAGGTAAAGAGTGAGCAGGGGAGGAGCAGAGAGAGGGGTAGAGATAGAATCCGAAGCAGGCTCCGCATTATCAGCGTAGAGTCCCATGCAGGGCTCAATCTCACAAACCATGAGATCATGACATGAGCTGTGACACTTTCCCAATGAGCCATCCAGGTGCCCCAAGATTGGCCATTCTGAGTGTAAAGTACTTTCACTAGCAAAGAAATGAACAGACTATAAAAAATGCAAGTTTCATATATTCTCTCAACACAACAAAGTAAAAGATAATTTAATATTTTAAGCTATAGAAAACTTGGATTCAGAGAAGTCTCTTACTTTGTAATCTGACATAGCAACTTCATTACTCTGAATACCAAGAAACTAGATTAAATAAAAACAATCTGGGAATTGGGGCGCCTGGGTGGCGCAGTCGGTTAAGCGTCCGACTTCAGCCAGGTCACGATCTCGCGGTCCATGAGTTCGAGCCCCGCGTCGGGCTCTGGGCTGATGGCTCAGAGCCTGGAGCCTGTTTCCGATTCTGTGTCTCCCTCTCTCTCTGCCCCTCGCCCGTTCATGCTCTGTCTCTCTCTGTCCCAAAAATAAATAAACGTTGAAAAAAAAAAACAATCTGGGAATAAAGAATAATTTCATTTTAAGCTCTGCTTTTTATCTGTGTTTTGGTAAAATTTGTAATGGAGAATTCTAATGTAAAATTAATCAACTTTAAAGTAGTTGACTCCAGGAGTGCCTGGATGGTTTAGTCGGTTAAGTGTCTGACTTTGGCTCAGGTCATGATCTTGCAGTTCTCAAGTTTGAGCCCCACATCGGGCTCAGTGCTGACAGCTCAGAGCCTGGACCCTGCTTCAGATTCTGTGTCTCCCTCTCTCTCTGCCTCTCTCTCTCTCTCTCTCTCCCTCTTAAAAATAAATACATATTAAAAAAATTATTGTGGCGCCTGAGTTGTTCAGTCAGTTGAGCATCCGACATCAGCTCAGGTCATGATCTCATGTTCGTGAGTTTGAGCTCCACGTTGGGCTCTGTGCAGACAGCTCAGAGCCTACAGCCTACTTCAGATTCTTTGTCTCCCTCTCTCTCTGTCTTCTCCTGCTCGTGCTCTGCCTCTCTCTCTCTCGAAAATAAACATTAAAAAATTTCATAAAAATATAAAGTAGGTGACTCCAAAAATCTCTCTGGTCTCCCTATATTGTATTGGTTTCAGTAAACCTATTCCTCTAATTGGTTAGTTGATTTGTTTACTCTCCGACTACAAATCAAGTGGAGTTGTCCTCCTGGTTCCTAACATTTTTCAGCCTGTGTATACTGAGATGATACCATTTACCTAGAGATACAGAATCCTCTATATATTTCAGCCTGAGGTCTCTTATTGATTAGCTAAAATTTTAGAGGGCACAGAAAGTTTCAGAAACTAAATTAGCACTAAATTTAGAGCTACTACTAAATTTGATTATTGTCCTATTTATTACAAATTGTTATTGTTGGGGCGCCTGGGATGATCTCACAGTTCATGAGTTTGAGCCCCGTATCTGGCTCTCTGCTGATAGCTTCAGATTCTCTGTCCCCTTCCGTCTCTCCTGCTCCCCTGCTCCTGCTCTCTGTCTCTCTCAAAAAATAAACATTAAGGGGCGCCTGGGTGGCTCGGCTGGTTAAGCGTCCGACTTCGGCTCAGGTCATGATCTCACGGTCAGTGAGTTCAAGCCCCGCGTCGGGCTCTGTGCTGACAGCTCAGAGCCTGGAGCCTGTTTCAGATTCTGTGTCTCCCTCTCTCTCTGCTCCTCCCCGTTCATGCTCTGTCTCTGTCTCAAAAATAAATAAACGTTAAAAAAAAATTTTTTTTTAATAAACATTAAAAAAATTTCAAATTGTTATTGTTTAATGGATAATCAGTTATTATTATACTAGAATATACTTTAATATAGTAAAAATAATGCAGCTCTATAATGCAACTATATTTTTATATAAAATTAAAGCATGTACACATTAAAAATATTTAGAGTCAATTATTTTATGACTAAACATAGTTGAAACACTATTAAGTGGTCAGTGTGCATAGAAAGACTTTTGGTAGTAGTAACAGCAATAATAGCTACAATAATATGTAACGTGTTTTGCACACTCTGCACCAGGTATGGTGCGAAATGCTTTATATACATTTTCTCATTGGATTCTCAAACTAACTAATCAGGTAGACATTATTATTTTATCTCTTTGAAGATGAAGAAACTGAAGCACAGAAAAATTCAGTGACTTGCCAAATGACACACAGGTGTATATCAGGATGTTTACCCTGTGAGGTGTAAATTTTAGTCCCTTAAGAATTTTGAAAAATAAATAGCAATGTTTATACAAATGATTATAAAAAGCACAGCACTACAAAGGCTTTTTCTATCCAAAGTTAATCTTTTTTCATTGTGGTAAACAACTTCAGAAGGGTTGGGCAGCTGCAATTTTTGCTAAGCTAAAAAAAATTGGTAATTCTTATTCAGCTTTTTTCACTACCTAGTATATTTGTAACTATTCCCTTTTCCTTCTCTTTTTCTTCCTGGCTAACAATCTTCTCCCTTTCCTATGTGACCAATTTCCTTCTCAGTCACCGTCAAATTGCACCTATTATTAGCATACTATAAACGATCTGATATTCAACAAATTGGTTATGATATTCCAAAATTGTGTGCTCTTCACACAGATGATACCTTCATGGAGTTCTTCATTGGCTGTTTCACTCTTCAAGAGGATTTTCATCTTTAGGAAAATCCCAGCTGGATTTAAATGTTCCTATTTTAAACAGAGAAATCACAATGACATTAAAACTGTAGAATGTAAAAGACAGTTTTCAAATAATTGCCTGTTTTGTTACATCATAGCAGAATAACTCATGATCAAAGAAAATCAAAATTATAAAAGATCAGATCACAAAATCCAGTTTATCCCTGAGGATATTTTCTGATATTTTATTCAATCTAAATGAAATAATACAAGGGAAAAAAAACACATTTGATTGAGTGGCAAGTATTTAATGGTAGGTCAATAAACTGTATAAATATAAGGCTGTATTCTTACCCTTGTAAGCAAAATTCAATGTCAATTATATTTGCTTTCTTTTGAGATTTTAATAACAATTAAGGTCCATGTTTAACAATAACAATTAAGGTCCAAAGAAACATGGTTGAATGAAATGAAAATATACTGTCTTCCCTGCAGGACATGCCTGTCCGATTTACTATTAATAACAACGTACTCTCAACAGTTTTTCCAAATCCTTGTTAGCTGGTTCTACGCCATCTGTGGGTTTCTTGCCTAGTTCCACTTTTGCCTGACAGAACACATCTTTACACAGCTGGATAAAATTAAAAGTGCAGTCTAGGCCCACAGAAGAGAGACTTTCTCTCTACAAAGCCAATCAGCTTCTACATGAACATTGTACTCAGCTCTAAACACAGCAAATAATTATAGCAATTCATGTGTGAGATGCCTTAAGAATGGAAAGTTAGGGAAAGTATGCACTGGTATTAAAAGGGTTTGCAAATATAGATGACATAAATACAAATAATAAGCTGAGGTTGCAAATTTTAATTTATTGCATTACTTCATTTCCTAAAAGATACGCTGAAATAGGTCTTGGATTAAATTCCCTTTTACCTTCAGAGATGTACATGTCTTCCAAATCTTGGCAGGATCTGTTTTTCTTCAGTCTACCACACTCACACAAGTTGACATTCTGGTTTTCTCTTTGATTTCATTAACAAACAATTCCAGAGAATGGACAACACTTTGCATTCATTGTATAATCATAGATTCACTTGTATAACATTTACACTATAGTGTCTATCCTTGTTTCCTGAAATTACACTTTCAGAAATCATAACTACCTGTTAAATCCATCAACTTTCTCCCTACAATATTCTTTTCTTTTCTGTAACTTTTCTCACTGGTGTTTCTCACTCGATTTCACGCATTCCCCAACCCACCTCCCTTCTGGCAATCACCCGGAAAAAAAAAATGTAGGGCTCTTAATATGAGAGAAGCATTTTTGTTTTACCTGGTATCATCTGTGAATTGTCACTAAGTCAAGGCAATTTAATTATATGTTATTTTTTACTAAGTATAAAAGATACCACCAAGGGGCACCTGGGGGCACCTGGGTGGCTCAGTTCATTAAACATACGACTTTGGCTCAGGGCATGATCTCTCACAGTTTGTGGGTCCAAGCCCCACGTTGAGCTCTGTGCTGACAGCTTGGAGCCTAGAGCCCACTTTGGATTCTGTGTCTCCCTCTTTCTCTGCCCCTCCCTGGCTCACATATACTCTCTTTCTTTCTCTCAAAAATAGACATTAAAAAATACCACCATTTTCTTTTTTACTTCTAATTTTCCATTATAATGCAATCTGTATATCATAAAAAAATAAAGAGCAGGGTGCCTGGTGGCTCAGTCGGTTAAGCGTCCCACTTTGGCTCAGGGCATGATCTCCGGGTTCATGGGTTCGAGCCCTGTGTCAGGCTGCTTTGGATTCTGTGTCTCCCTCTCTCTATATCCCCTACCCTGTTCGTGTTCTGTCTCTGTCTCTCAAAAATAAATTAAAATGTTAAAAATTTTTTTTAAAAATAAAGAGCAAATAAATTTAAAAAGCAGGAATACTGAAGCAAATGGCTAAACTAGATTTCAAAATGTGAATCAAAGCTTTAAAAATTCATTAAGTTAATATGCAAAACTAAAAACCTTTCATACCTTGTTTGCTAGGTTTACAGCATGGAGAGCCTTATCACAATATTCTCTGTCATTCCAATCCAAATAAGCAGTGGCTAGTAACCGAAGAACTTTAGCCTAGAATTAAAAATAGAAAAAGCACTCGGTCGAGGGTTAAATTGCAATACAACAGCTGCCTAGCACTTACAAAGTGACAGGCATCTTCTCAAACTTAAGTCATTGTTATGAAATAGCATTTCCTTAGGTAACCACATAGTCTTGGGTTACGTCTCATCATTATGCTGCCCACATCAAATACTGTAAGAATTTTATAACAGCTTATTTCAATTTAATACAATTGTGTTAATATAATGATTTTCCTAACAGTGTTTTAGCACTGAAGTACTTTATTATTCTCACTTTAAAAATAAAGGAAACTAAAGTACAGCAATATTCAATTTAATCATCTTCCCACCTATTGTATAGGTAGCATTGCATTAGGCCTTCATCAAAAGAGATAAATAGAAAGACACAATCCCTCTCTCAAATACTTTACAGCCTACTTGAGATTAACCAATTGGACCAAGAGCACACATACCTTCATTTTAATAGTGACTCATATACTTTCCTGTAAAGAAGATCTCTCCTAACTCAGCTAAGTTTTAAAATTAATAATGTATTCCTGAATAAGTCAGTTTCTCCAACTAGGTTTACATTGATAAGGGGAATAACTCTAGCCAGCATTGATATATTTTTTTAAATTTTTTTTTAACGTTTATTAGCATTGATATATTTAACTACAGACTTAGATTTTGAAAGAAGGAGCTCTATTTCACTAAAGAATCTGCCTCTAAATATAATGAGGATGTTGGGACCAGGCAAAGATAATCTTAACATATTAGAGCTCTGTAAATCTAGAGAAATGGTACTTAGTGTGTCCTATTTCTGAGTTTTTAAATTCAAAAAGATGGATCAAATAAGATGTATACAATGTACTTAATATTATTATTATTATTATTATTATTATTATTATTATGGAACAACTCTCAACTTATAAACTCCCCAGAGCTTTTGTGGAGTAAATATGGCATCTCTAAGAAAACCTGTAACTATTTCATAATACTAAAAGAGTCAAATAATCAGAAAGATGTAACAAAATGAATGAATCTCAAAACCATTATGTAAGGAAAAGAAGCCATACATAAAACAGTAGATACTATATGATTCCATTTATACAAAGTTCAAGAAAAAACAAAAATAATCGACAGCCACAGAAGCCAGAATAGTGGTTTTATCTTGGGGCTATAAATGGCTATTAACCAGAAAGGGCCAAGGGAACTTTTGAGAGTCATGGAAATTTCTGTATCTTGATCTGTATGGTAGTTACAAGACTACCTAGACATGTTAAAATTCATCAGGCTGTACACTTAAGATTTGTACAATTAAAAAAAAGATTTGTACAATTTAGTATATATAAACTATACTTCAATAAAGTGCTGCTAGCATGAAAGAAAAACTACTTCATAATCTATTTCATGATCTTACCTCTCCATACTTCACCATATGAATATGACATTTCAATCATGCTTAACTACTGTAGTCTTCCATCCCTAATCCCTCCTCCAGACATCATCTCATCTTGGTCCCTTGCCTGGTATTCTCTTCTTTCTCCATTTTCACTGTATGGACCCCATCTACTTTTCATGGCCTTCTTACCAGAAAGCTTCTTCAACTGCTCTGGCAACCTGATATTTCCCTTTACTGTACCACACAGTTTATCACTTATTTTTCCCAATTGTTTCATTTATGCTAGTTTTTAAAATCTATTTTTGAAACTTTAACTGAAGTATACAATACATACAAAAAAGTTCAAAACCTCAACAGTACAGCTCTGAATTTTCACTAAGTTAGCACGTGTATGATAACAACATAGAAATCAAGAAACATAACATTAACAGCAACAGGTTCACCTCAAGACTCTCTTTGACATGATTTCCAAACAAGAGTAACCAATTACTTGTTTTCCAGTACCATGTACACTTTAGCTCTACTTGCTTTTGGCATTTACATTTATGGAATCATACAGTATGTACTACTTTATAAATTGCTCTGTTTATTCAACATTGTATGTGAGAATATATCATTGCAATTATTGTAGCTCATTTATTCTCATTCCTATATAATATTCCATGTTACACTATAACAATTCTTTTATTATTTTAATTGTGCTAAAATACACATAAAATTGACTATCTTAACCATTTTTTAAGTGTATGGTTCAGTAATATCAAATATATTCACACTGTTGTTCAACTATTACCATCACACACCTCCAAAACTCTTAATATTGCAAAATTGAAACTCCGTATCCATTAAACAATAGGTTCCCATGTTCTCCTCCCTCCAAACTCCTTCAACCACCATTTTACTTTATGTCTCTATGAATTTGACTACATCAAGATACTTAAATGGAATCATACAATATTTTTCTTTTTGTGATTGGTTTATTTCACTTAGAATATTGTCCTCAAGGGGCACCTGGTCTGGCTCAGTCAGTTAAGCATCCGACTCTTTTATTTAAATATAATTTATTGTCAAACTGGTTCCCACACAACACCCAGTGCTCATCCCAACAAGCGCCCTCCTCAATGCCCATCACCCACTTTCCCCTCTCCCCCACCCCCCATCAACCCTCAGTTTGTTCTCTGTATTTAAGAGTCTCTTATGGTTCGCCTCCCTCCCTCTCTGTAACTTTTTTTTAGCATCCGACTCTTGATTTCAGCTCAGGTTACAATCCCAGGGTCTTGGGATGGAGCCCCGTGTCAGGCTCTATGCTGACCTTGCAGCCTGGTTGGGGTTCTCTCTCTTCCTTTCTCTTTGCTCCTCCCCTGCTCATATTTTTTCTCTCTCTCTCTCAAAATAAATAAACATTAACAAAAATAATTCTGTCCTCAAGGTTCATCTATGTTGTAGCATATGTCAGAATTTCCTTCCTTTTTGAGGCTGAATAATATTCCATTATATTCATTTCTATTAGTTGTACCCTTCAAACAGAAGCTTTTTAAGGGTAGAAGTCATGTTTCACACTTCTCTTTTAGTCCCCAACTATCGCATTGCTAGATATACATAGGTATTCAGTTATATTTTGATTGATATACCGTAATGATAAGAAGGAAAGATGAATATTCAAACAAAATTCCATTTTGCTATGGTATATATTTTAAATTACTTTTACATCAGATTTACATACCTAATCATATTTTACTTGATTAAATATTAAAATACCAAGCACATTCTATATGGGTAGTTAGGGGAAAATCTATATTTTTAACATGCAATAATAAAATCTAAAATTTACATAGCTAAACACTGTTCCAAGTGTTTACATATATTAACTCATGGGTATAAGAATCTACCATACAGGTAAGATTCTATTAGTATGTAATTTTATAGAAACTAATGTACTAAGATATTAATGATGTGCCCAAAGGATAATCTACTCAAAAAGGGGTGATAGACTATTATAATTTAGTAACAATAACATAAAATGTATTTCTTCAACCTACTTCTGCAATATTTAACATGATCCTTACCAGCATTTCTGGCCCAATAGTATTCTTATCCATCTTCCCAATATCATAGCTTTGGCTATCATTAAAAAAAGGAAAAAAAATACATGTTCATTTCAAATTATATTTTTAAGATTATGTATCACTAAGAAGACATGGTATAATTAGACTTTATTCCAACTTTTCTATTTCGCACTACAATATATTATTAGCCAATTAATATAGGAATATCAATTATATAAAGCAATTCTTTCAAGCTGTAAAAAAACCACAATTTCCTCAGGATGTATAGCCAATAAATCAATACCATATTATTGTTCTTTTCCATATTGTTCCTATATAGATGTCCTACATATATAGTATTTTGCTGCATTAAACTAGTTCACTTGTGTACATAAGGTCTTATTCAATGAGCACATTTTAAAGTCTAAGAAATAGGAATACATTTTTAAAATAAAACAAATACAGGAGTTTTCACAGAAACAAATGCTTCAGCAATATTTATTAAGCTTCACAACACCCTTGTGAGGCACTATTAGTTCCATTTTGCAGCTGAATGGACCAATTTAGCAGTTAAGTGATTTCTAATATTTCCTAGATTGGTACTGAAAATGAGAGTGAAGGGTTGGGGAGTAGTGAAATTTGATTTCCAGTCTATGCTTTAATTAGCAAACCATATTATCTATGGGACATTCCAATAATCACAAATAATACATTAATATGAGCCTCAGGGTTTTAAAACCTAAAACTTAAAAAGCAAAACAAAGATTATTCACCATAAAATTGGTATTCCAAGGAAGGATGTCAGTAAAATTTTGGTGAGCTGAACTAAATTGAAGACATTACTTTGAAATACTCCCTTTAAAAAACTCTAAAAGACTCAAAATTACCAAACTGAGTTTTCAGATCACTAACAAGAATACAACATGAGCCTAGTTATTCTAAGCTCTATCTCATAGAATGGTCTCCTTTGGTATATTAAACCTACTTCCAGTTTTTAAAATAACCAATGAGGACAAAACTTCTGCAATGGTGGTATAAGGAGCTCTTGGACCCTCTCCCCAGTGAAACAACAATTTGCCTGGAAAAATCAATTAAAAAAACAACCAGTTAAAGTCTCTGGGAATTTTCCTAAGGGCATATGGCAAATGGAAAAACATTTCTTTAAAACAACAACAACTAAATCTCAGTAAGAACAGTGAGAGTCTGTGTCATTTGAGTCACAATCTGCTTCTATCCACACCAGCTCCCTGTGATGAAAACTACTCTAGATGGGTGCTGTCAAGAAGGTAGTAATTCCCTTTCCCTCCAGCTCCTAGACTCCTAGGCTATGGTTTCACCTAGGAGGGACAGACTGCTAGCCTGTCTTATCCTCTCCAGGCCTGTGCTGTGGAAGTGCTATTCTGGTCAGGCACAATTAGAGGACAGGATCTTCCCTTACCCACCCAGTTTTCGCTCTCAGGGTAAGGACTCTTACCCTACATGTGACAGGTCAAGAATACTGATACCCTGATCACCTTCAACCAGACTCATTAAGCAGAGGTTCTATGCCAGGACGGCATGCTAAGAAGATCAGCAGTTACCAATCTCCCCAATATCCACTCTGTGGATGCTACCAAAAGAAGCAAGCCATGCTCCCATTACCAACTCCAGTGGTGTGGCACACAGGTTCTGCCCAGGGGAAGAAACAGGCAATAAAGAAAAAAGAGTTCAGCATCTATGCTTGAGAGGACTGACTTATTTGGAATGAAGCAAAAAGTTCCTGCCTGAGGACACTGTCAAAAACAAGGGAAATTTTGGTAGTGAGCAATTTAAGAGGGGGTTGGTAGCTCTGTGGTAATAGTAGCAACAAGTGAAACAGCAGACCAGAAAGATTTTTAACAGAGAGAACCAGGGAAAGGGATAGCCAAGAAGAATAATGTGGGAGGTCACACTCATCCCTGGGGATACAGAAGGCTATGCATATGCTCTAGCTGCACCCCCTCAGGAGCAACCAGAAGGATATGTGGGGCAGACTAGAAAGCATTCCTCAAGGCACACACATATACATCAGCAAAAAGCCCTAAGCCTGGGACGCCTGGGTGGCTCAGTCGGTTAAGCATCCTCTTGATCTCAGCTCAGGTCTTGATCTCAGGATCATGCTTACGTACAAGCCTTACAGTTGGGCCCCACGCTGGGAGTGGAGCCTACTTAAAAAAACAAAACAACCCTGGGCCTGAGTGGCTCAAGTGACTTAAGTAGAACCTCTTACCAAATGCAGAAAATTTAACTACTCTGATCCAAGGTAATGGTAAGGAAGCTAAACTTAAAAATCAAATCACACTTCCAGTTTTCAGTTCCACATGTAAGGAACTTGGAAGTCACTACTTCATCCTAACAAGTAAAAAGCTGTAAAGACTAAAAAATCAACAACTCTTCTTGGATCCCTAAGAGAGGGGAGGACAAAGGGCAAACCACTGGCCCCCACATTGGAGAGATGGACAAGCAAATACAAGGAACTGTGGCTTACCACAGGAAGGACTTACCAGTGGAAACTGCCAAGGGAACCAGTGCTGAGGCAGGAAACTGTGAACTATAATTGACAGATTGCTGGAGGTTCATTGTGAACAAGTCTGAGAACTTAAAACTCCAGGAAAACATAGTCTTAGGGGGATACAGACAATATTGTCAGATTTACCTCCAGGAGCTCAAGATTCCCATAGTAAATATCAAAGAAAATCCTCTTGGGCTCTGTCAGGAATTGATGATAAGGAACCAATCTGTTCTTAACAAGGCCTGCCTTCAAGGAAAACTAACTAGTGCCTAACTTCCTGGGGTATTATCAGAGACTAACTGACCTGGGGAAGAGAAACACTCAACTCTAGACTACTCTAGCCAGGCTATACTACCTAGGAGTGAAAAAAAAACTGGTAAATATTTGTGAAGTTCACAGTTCAGAGGCATACACTCACCAAAAGACTAAGAACTAAACACAGGACTACAGAACTCTTACCCTCCCCAACACCTAACCACCATGTTAGTAGAGACCTATTTACAGGGGTGCCTGGGTGGCTCAGTCGGTTGAGCATCTGACTTCGGCTCAGGTCATGATCTCATCAGTTGATGAGTTTGAGCCCCAAGTCGGGCTCTGTGCTGACAGCTCAGAGCCTGGAGCCTGCTTCAGATTCTATGTCTCCCTCTCTCTCTGCCCCACCCCTGCTCATGCTGGCTCTCTTTGTCTCAAAAATAAACATTTAAAAAAGACCTATTTACAGCAGTTCCTTTTACCCAGTACAACATGTCAAGTTATCAAGAAAAAATCACAAGGAATACCAAAAGGCAAAAAGAAACACAATTTGAAGAGACAGAGAAAGCACTGGAACCAGATATGGCAAGGATATTAGAATTAACAGTCCAGAAATTTAAAATAAGACAGATGGGCAATGTAAGCAAAGAGATGGAAATTCTAAAAAAGAACCAAAAAGGATTGCTAGAACTAGAAATGACTGTAAATGACATGAAGAATGTCTTTGATGGGCTTTTTAATAAACTGGACATGGCTGAGGAAACAATCTATGAGTATCCTTGAAAACAAAAAAGCAAAGGGAAGAAAGACTGAAAAAAAAAACCAGAACAGAATATCCAAAAACTATGGCACACCTACAAAAGTTACAACGTAAGTATAATGGGAATACAAAAAGGAGTTAAAAGAGAAAAAGAAACAGGAGAAATATTTTGAAACAATAATGAATGAGAATTTCCCTAAATTAATGTCTGATATCAAACCACAGATCCAGGAATCTCAGAGAACACTAAGCAGTATAAACACCAAAAAAAAAAAAAAAATTACACCTAGGGATATCATTTTCAAATTACAGAAAATCAAAAATAAAGAAAAAATCCTTAAACAAGCTAGAAGAAAAAATACCTTATCTATAAGAGTACAAAAATAATAATTATACCCAACTTCTCAGAAACCATGCAAGCAAGAAGAGAATGCAGTGAAATATTTAAAGTGTTGAGAGAAAAATACCACCAACCTAGAATTCTGAACCCTAAGAAAATATCATTCAAAAGTAAATGAAAAATAAAGACTTTCTCAGATAAACAAAAACTGCGAGAATTTGTTGTCGGTAGACTAGCCTTATAAAGAATGTTAACAGAAGTTCTTTAGAAAGAAGGGAAATAATACAGGTCAGAAACTCGTATCTGTATAAAATAAGGAAGAGCATCAAAGAAGGAAGAAATTAAGGTAAAATAAAAACTTTTATTTTTCTTAATTTTTCTAACAGAAAACAATTTGAAATAATAGCAACAATATATTCAATTATGTATGCTTATTTATAGGCTATATATATGTATATGTGTGTATATATATATATATATATATATATGCTTAGAATAAAGTAAAATAAATGACAGCAATGATACAAATGGATGGGAAGGGGGAATTCTGAAGAATTCTTACAAAGTACTGACACTACTCATGAAGTGATATAGTGTTATCTGAAAGTGGACTTGGATTAATTGTAAATGTATATTGCAAACTCTGGGGAAGCCACTAAAAAAGTTAAAATAAAAAAGAAGTGGGGCGCCTGACTGGCTCAGTTGGTGGAGCATGCTTCTCTTGATCTCAAGATTGTGAGTTTGAGCCCATGCTGGGTATAGAGATTACTTAAAACTAAAATCTTTTAAAAAAGTAGTATAACCTATATGCTAATGAGAGAAAGATGGAATCATAGAAAATACTCAACTAAAACCACAAATGACAGTAGGAAAAAAGCACAAAGGCAAGAAATAGACAACAGTAATGAATATTGTAGATATTAATCCAACAATATCATCATCACTTTGAATTTCAATGGCCTAAATATACCAATTAAAAGACAGACTGTCAAAGTGGATCAAAAAATATACCCCAACTCTGTGTTGTCTATAAGAAAACCACTTTAAATATAAAGACACATAGAGATTAAAAGTAAACAGATAAAGAAAAAATATACCATGCTAAAATTATCCAAAGAAAGCAGGAGTAGGTATATTAATTTCAGCGAGCAGAGTTCTAAGTAAGGGAGGGGCGCCCGGGTGGCTCAGTTGGTT